GCACTAAATAATGGCATATTAGAAATTCATTTTGGTGAAAGTGGTTTTGCTTGCTTCACAGACCAGAATAATAATGTGTGTGTTGTGTTTGTTATTATAAATATTAGAATAACAATTTTTATTTAATAATAAATAATAATAAAAAATTATAAAAATTTACGGAATTTCCGTCCTTAACAGACACGAATAAACAATTATCGTCTCCACTTATAGGTACAATGATATAATTTTCAAAATTTACGTCTGTATTAAAGTTTATTAAGTTATTAAAAATTTCAATTTTTATATTATTCTCTGTATTTACATTTGATTTTTGAAGTTCAAAAAGACTATTGAATGAGGGAATAATATAATTCGTAGTCTTCCGTTTTTCTTTTCCGTCATTTTGTGCAATTTAAAAAAAACAGATTTCATTCCTTTCCAACTCGTAACCATCAAATCCAATCAGACTCGCTATATTTTTCCTGTAATCTACTAGGGTTGAAAAGTCTGAAAAAATCGTTTTTCGATTATTCGAAGAGATTCTTTTTATATTATGAAAATCGATTATCTGATAAAAAAGTTCTATTTTTCGATTTTTTTTATTTTCTTTTCAAATTAGAAAATACCCTTGTGGAAAAAGTCACGATCATGCCCTGAGACTTCAGGGCCCCCGATAGGGGAGCACGTGGAAGATCCAACAGAACGAATCCACGGAGACACCATGAGGGCCCCCGATCTTTGCCCTCACGGTTACCTTAATCAAAAATTTTTCTAAGTCTAAAAAAAAATTTTTATCAATAAAAAATTAATGTTTACAATGATTTAGAACAACGAAAAACGCGTTTTTAATAAAAATATATTTACACTTTTTTGAAAAAACACACTCACATATGGCAATATACATGAGGGCCAACATAGGCAAAATAGGGGACTTTTTTGAGTCAATCAATTCCTGTAAAACTTGTTATAAATATTTTTAAGTAATTAATTATTTTTTTAATGAAATTTGTTTAACTGAATTGCAATCTTAAAAAATGGTCTCAGTTCAAATTTAAAGTATTATAAATAAAATTTATTAAAAATATTCCTGTGAAACATTTTTATTAAAGTAATAATAAAATTTATTTAATTTCTAATTATAATTGTTAATAATAAAAAATTTATTAACTATAATTGTATTTTCTAAAACTAATAACATCGTCTTTTTCGACGTTGCTTTGAATGTAAATGACATACATTTTTAGTCATTTATTAGTACATATTTTTAGAATTTAGAATCTATACTAATTTCAAATCATATTTTAAACATACATTTTGTTTAAAAAAATATTTTGCAGTCAAAATTTATCATTAAAAAATAAATTATTTTTCAGAAAAAAGTTGAATGAAAAAAATCAGGGGGGTTGTGAATGCGTTCATATTTTTTATGGTTTTTCTACTTACATTCGCAATCATGTTCGAAACATATATTTTGTTTAAAAAATACTTTGCTGTTAATGTTCATTCTCGAAAAAATTTTTTTTAGAAAAAAAAATTAAAAAACATTAAAAGGGGGGGGGTGGAAAGCATAGCTTGTTGAAACTAGCAGCCGCGCTCACTAACCTTCCATAGACGTCAAACACAAATATTCAATAATAAAGTTCTTTCAAAAAATAAAACAATACAAACTAAAAAAATTAATAAAGAATTCTCAGTACTCTAAACTTATCACAACATTTTGGCACTTTTTGAGAATACATAGTTTTTATATTCTTTTTAAAATTAAAAAATATGTTTCCACATTTAAAAAAACTAACAATTATTTTTGCAATAAAAAATTCTCAGCAACCTAGGCTCTATTGTAATTTTTTGGCAATATTTAGTTTTAAAAAAATTTGAAAGGGTAAAGTTAATACAATACATCCATATTTTAAGGGTCCTCTGCATATGTCCTCAAAGATATTCTAAACCATTAGCAATTATTAAAAAAATATTTAGCACGCAACCTTGAATACAAAAAAATTGAATTCTTTAAGAAAAAACATGATTAAAAAAAATTTACATATTAACCGTTATCATAGCAACCATTACAATCGCAACCGTTACCATAGCAAATGTTACCATAGCAAACGCTTCTACAGCAAATGTTTCCATGGAAAACGCTTCCATGGAAAACGCTTCCATTGCAACTGTTTCCACAGCAACCGTTTCCTTAGGAATAACCGTTAATATAGCAACCGTTACCATAATAAACGTTACAATACTAACCGTTTTCATAGCAACCGTTACCATAGCAAACGCTTCCATAGTAAATGTTTCCATATAACAAACGCTTTCGTAGCAACCGCTACCATAGCAAACGTTACCATAGCAACCGCTTCCATAGCAAACGTTTCCATCGTAATCGTTACCATCACAACCGCTACCTTAGCAGACATTACAATACCAACCGTTTTCATAGCAACCGTAACCATAGCAAACACTTACATAGCAACCGTTGCATAGCAAACGCTTCCATAGTAAATGTTTCCATATAACAAACGCTTTCGTAGCAACCGTTATCATAGCAAACGTTACCATAGCAACCGCTTCCATAGCAAACGTTTCCATCGTAATCGTTACCATGACAACCGCTACCTTAGCAAACGTTACCTTAGCAGACATTACAATGCCAACCGTTACAATAGCAAACGTTACCATAGCAAACGCTTCCAGAGCAACCGTTACCATAGCAAATGTTTACATGGCAAACGCTTCCATAGCAACCGTTACCATAACAAACGTTATCACAGCAATCGCTTTATTAATTTATTTATTCTTATTCAATATTTTTACTTTAATTATTTAAATATTTTATATAAATTTTTATATTTATTAATAAAAAAAATTAAATAAAAAAACATAAAATTAATACCTTTGATATTGTTCTTCTCATTTCTCTTTTCTTCAATACATCAGTGACCGCCAGCTGAAGAGTGTGAACTACGCACCGTACTACCGTCATTATAGACAAATTGAAATTTTCAATTTCATCTACTTCGATAACGTCATTCTCAGTATATTCATTATTCACATTTAATGATTCCGTAATTCTTTCAATTTCAGTAGCTTTATCCAGGTCCTGGAGCAATTGGGTTATTTTTATCATATTGCGTCCATTATCGGAAGTACAGGTGTACAATTTTTGCAAATCAATCGCAAAATTATGCAAAATTTTCAACACAACGTCCATTAAGTTTTTAGACGTATGCCGCAATCTTAACTCCTTAACAGCCAAAATACGGAGTTCTATTACTCCGTCCTTTATGAATTGAACGTTCAAGCCAAGGAACGATCTGTTATACCGAGTTGCAACGTCATATTTTAACCTTATTAATGGAACCTGTTGAAAAAATGTTATATAAAAAAATGGTAAAAATAATTTAATATCCCTGGTGAAAATTATTCGTTCGAATTTTTTTCGAAATTCGTGCAGATATTCACAGGAAATTCTGTATGTATTTTCGTACGAATTGTGGATGGAATTTTTTTAAAATTTAATTTCGTACGTAATTTCGCTGGGAAAATTTTTCCACGAACAAAACCTTTCATCCAAGCGGATTTCACGCAAATTTTATACGGATTTTCTAGTAAAATATGCAGAAATTTTTTTTAAAAATTGGCACTAAATTCGCACGAAAATAGTTTGGAAACAATATTAAATTAAAATATTTACAGAAAAAAATGACGATAGAAATTCTTTGAAAATTTCCATACGGATTTCCTATTAAACATTGAGCAACAAAATTTTGTCCGAAATTAGAAACAATTTCGTTTGATAAAAAATAGTTTTAACCTTACAAAATTTGCAGACAAAATTTACGAGCAAAATTTCATTTCGTACAAAATTTAACAAAAAAAATTTTCCTCGAAAAAAAATTAAAATTTATAGGGTAAGTGCTTCAATTACGGCAAGTGCATCCATGACGGCGCTTTCATTAAAAAAACTATTATTACTATTATACTTAATATAACAGTTACAAATGTTGAAAATATTTAAAATTGACACTGTTGCGCCATCTGTGTTCATCTAACTGAGTTAACTATATACCTAACCAAACCAGTTCAGTTGACTAAGTCTTTATTAATAAAAGTTGCATCATATAAAGAATGCTCAATTTAATTAGTAAAATACGTGTTTTATTGACTATTTTTCTATAAGTTATGGGTCCAGAAGCTCAAACACTACGCTGAATATAAAATGTTGTATACTGCGGTTCGAGAAAAGTGAAAAACGAAAAGTTTTTTTTTGTTCCGCTATACGCTAGTGCCTTTTTTGAGAAAAGTGACGTCGCAAATATTTTATGCAGTGCAACATTACAAGCGTTAATAAATTTAACCTGTTGTTTGAAAATTTTTTTTTTAAACAAAAAAAAAGTCAAAAGCAAACAAATAATCTTTGACAATAAGTAAACGTGAATGTATATTTATCGAACATATTGACATCGCGAACGTATTTCTTATAGTGTTGATTTACGTATAGTTCCTTTTGTTTTTTCGAATCGACCTTCTTTTCGAAAAGTAAAAATGAGTTTTTCGACAGTTAAAATACCCCCTCTTCAAAAAGAAAACTACGATACGTGGAAGATTCATATGAAAGCTTTGCTCATAAAAAATGACGCATGGGGTTATGTCAACGGTACCAAAGTAAAGCCAGAAGTGGCAGAAGGAAACGAAGCTCAAGTCAGTAAATGGACAGTCAACGCCGAAAAAGCCATGTCTGATACAATACTTGCCATGAGTGCAGACGAATTAAAACACGTAATTGGATGCAACACATCGAAAGAAATCTGGCAAAAATTGAAAAGTCTCTACGAATCAGAGGGGCCAACACGAAAAGCAATGCTTTTAGAAGAATTAATTCACCACAAAATGGATGAGTCTCAGGATATGCGAGATCACGTGTTGAATTTTTTCGACACAGTCAACAAATAGACGTTTTCATCTCGAATATATTTTAGAGCGCATGCGTGACGAATAATTCGGACTTCCGGTAAAACTCGGTCATATTTGTCTAAATGAAATTAGATTTTTAAGAAAATAGTTTTATTTAAATTATTAAAGTAATTAAAAATTGGTAAGCTCAATCAGAAAAGAAGTAATGAATTCGGAAAATTTGCGTATCTTAAAAAGAAAAGTTGGAGGGCACAAGCGTTGCTGTTATGGCCTGTGTAAAAGTGACAGTCGAACTAAAGCATACCACGAAATTGGAAATTTTTATTTTATTTGCTTTCCAAAACCATGTATACAGTTTAGAAGAGGCGAAATTGAAAATAAAATATTAAAATCTCACTTAAAGTTATTTGGAGAATGTGCAAAAAGTGACAAATGGTTAAAAGCATGTGGACGCACAGACAAAAAGTTCAACCATATAAGTAAGGTTACGAGATATTCTTATATTTGTTTATTGCATTTTTCGGGAGAAGCTGGACCAACAGAGCAATTTCCAGATCCTGAAAGTTTTAAAAATAATTTTTCTGGACAAAAGAAGGTAAAAAACTAAAATTATTGTAAATAAATGAATTATAGACATAACATCAACATTGCCAGTAACCTAACCTAAAAATGTAAGTTCAAAATAAAGGAGCAAATATTATTATAGCAATACCTTTATTAATAATTGAATTAAACTACATAAAAATTATTTTTGAACTAAAAATAAGTATTTTTAAATACTCAACAATAAAAGTAAGAAAAATATTTTGTGCATATATTTATATATGTGTGTGCACAATAAATATATATTGTGCTACAGTAATTTTCAAATAATTAAATTACTTAAAAAGTATAAAAGAAACATATTATGCATTGATATTTATATTACTTATAACTTGAATTAACAATAAATGTAACAATAATTTCAATAATTCTGTTCAGTTATTATTAAATACGACACAACCTAACCTATATTGCAATGGTAAAATATTACATTTATAAATTATGTAAAATGGATAAAAAGTAATATAAACTGTACTGAAAATTTAATATATTTTTTATACATACTGTGTAATTTATAGATAAATTATTTACTTCACAGAAAATCTGCAAAATTCATAGTTCTCTGGAAAATAAGTACTTAAATGGTTCATCAAGTACGAAGGAAAGTGATGTTCCCGAAATAAATAAATTAAATTCAACGTTACCACCGTCATCTGATATAGTGCAGCAGGAAATCGTTGGACTGAAAGAAAATTCTGGTGATGTGATAGTAAACGACGTAGATTTGCGAGAAGTTACATCGTTTTAGTTTCCCAAGGAGGACAATGCTTTGTCAATTAGTGTAGATGGTCAAAAAGAAAATTTCATCATGAACACTGTCACCACAAAAATGTCGATAGAAACACAAACCGATTTTACAGATTATATTGCTTATAAAGATGAAACATGTCAAAGCTATATAAATCAACGCTCTTTAAGTTCTCAAACGTCGTAAAAATTAATGAAAGAAACAATTTCAACAAAAAAAATTATTCAGAGAATAATTTTATTAAAAATAATGTAACTGAAACTTTGAAAAAAATTGTTACGCGTTTTCAACAATTTTTAGAAAAAAATGAGAAGGAATCTTTATTTTATACTGGTTTAAGATTTAAACAAATTTTGATTCTTCTTACGAAAAGTAATTGTGATTCAAAAATGAGATTATTAACACCTTTACAAGAACTAATTATTGTGTTAGTTCGCTTAAGGTGTGGGTTACTTTTGGAGGATATGGCATACAGGTTTCGTATTAGCGTTGGACTTTTAAGCAGCATAACAACAACTTGGATTCAATTTATGTATCGAGAATTTACAGAAAACTTGCGACCAAAAATGTTTGCTTCGAGAGAACAAGTCCAAAAACATGTTCCATTAATTTTCAAACAGTTTAAAAACCTTCCAGTAATTATAGATTGCACCGAATTTTTTTGTGAATCTCCAGGAAATTTTGAACATCAGGGAAATGTATATTCATCATATAAAAGTCATACTACTTTCAAGGTTTTAATAGGATGTACACCAAATGGCGGTATAGGTTTTGTTTCCGATGTGTATGAGGGATCTATTTCTGATCGCGAAATTGTTATTCAGTCGAAACTGGCTGACTATTTGATTCCTGGTGATGTTGTCCTGGCTGATAAAGGATTTACTATTCAAAATGTTGTTGAGCAGATAGGGGCACATTTGAATATACCACCATTTCTTCGAAATAGAGATCGATTCACAGCTCAAGAGGAAATAGCAAAAAAAAAATAGCTAAAGAAAGAATTTATGTTGAGCATGCGGTGGGCAGGTTAAAACAGTTTCGATTTCTCCAAAGAACAATACCATTAAGTATGAGGGGTATAATTTCTCAATTAGTGTTTGTTTGTGCTTGTCTTGTAAATTTTGAAGATCCTCTTGTTTTTGATAAAAAGTAATTTTGTTAAATCAGAGGATAGCAATGTTTTTAATGATTTTAATTATCGGTTTTCTCATAGAGAATTGCCTACATTTACGGATTTAAGTATTATAATCATAATGAAAACAATGAAATAAAATACTTAGAAATTTAAATTTGTATCCCGTAATTTTAAAAATATTTAATTTTCTATATAATTTTGTAAATAATTGCTGTAATAATTATACTCGTGACTTCAATAATGTTTTATAAGAATTTTTAAAATATATTCGAATAATCGTCACATTTCTTCTCTGAATGAGTTGTATATATAAATAAATGAAATTAATTTTTACGAACAATGATTCGTTACAATTAACAAATAAATTGTAATTTTTTTACAATATTCTGTAACAATTGTAATATTAAGTACAATTATTATTATTATTGACACTAACGTATTTGAATTGTAATTGTAAAAATGTTTTTTATGTCGCAAATAAATGAATTTGTAAAATATTTCGTAATGAGTTTTTAATATATGTAATCAAATTTAAAAAAAAAAATTTTATAAATATAATTAGTTTACTGCTCGTATATTATTTTAGGAATAATATTTCAGAAATATTTATTTAACCAATTTTCAGTTTATCTATAATTATAAAGAATAAATATAATAGGTTTCATTATAAAATGTTTATTAATTTTAAAACAAAGATACATATATTAAATATATAAAACCTTTTACAAGTAACTATCACAGAGATCTGGTAACGATTTTTAAAATCACATTTGTAATAATTTCCTTAGTATGCGTATGTTACTTATAACAATATTATACAGTAATAATAATATTCAAAAGTTGCAAAATTACACATATTATTTTTGATACATGTATTATAATACTGTTTGTATTTCCATGAAACGCTTTCAATGATTAAATATCCAAATAAACACGCAATTTCGTTTTACTTAAAATTATAATTTTTAAATTAAAATAATTATTATATAGTATATGAAGCAATGTCTTTAAGTGTTAGGCAGTCAGTAATAAAAAATGTATGACATTATTAAAAAAAATACATTTTTTCTAAAATGGAAAACAATATTTACTGCATGTGATCACAATTCGTCAAAATGAAAATTGAATGGTGTTAATTTTCTTGGCACTCTCATTTCAAAATATTCAGGCGCTAAAATATTTTTATGAAAACTCATTGCTTTAGAAATAAGTGGGGTTGCAAAGTCATAATCAAATCTTATTCTTTGAATGTGAAAATCATGAGGTGTCCAAATCATAAAATCACACCAATATCGTTCGGTTATGGCCATTTGAATTTGTACCTGCATATGATACTGATGATTTTTCTTTAATTGTAAAGTGCTTCCCTCTAATTTACAACAGAAACTGGAAATTTGTTGCTTCTTCAATTGGTAAATTTCAATCGGTTTCAGATTTTCCAAAAGTTTTGGACATTTTATTTCTCAAAGGCCGTAAGAATTTTCAATCGTATCAAAAACGAGAGCGTCAGGTGAAGCACCTAATCCCACGAATTTTGAATTAACCCACAGACCGGTGTCTTCAACTTCAAAACCAAGAATTTCTGTATAACTTTTATACTGATTTTTTTCTACTTACTCGTTTCGCTTAACATACTCCAAAGCAGCAGATCGAACTGCGTTTTGTTTCCACAGATGACGTTCAACTAAATTGTACAATTGTTTTTCGTTCTTTTTTAAGGTAAAAGTTTTTAACATCATTCAGTTCATAATCAACATGTTCGGAGGTGACGGGTTCCATTGTTACAGAAATTCTGCAATCAGCAAAATCTTCTTGGATAATATTTTCCGACGCCTGCAGACAGGTATATTGCACACCATTACTATTTTCATCAGGGTTTAATAATAATTCCCACATGCTGACTGATGAACGTTATGAACTTTCTTCCTTCAGACTTTTTAGAAAGTTTTCTTGTCGTTCTGGCGGAGAATTTTAGAGTTCCCAGTGGACGTGGATCGAACGCTTTTTTTTGAGCATGATTTTTTATGCCTTTATACTGATTTTCGTCAGCCACAAGTGGACATTTACTTTGACGACCTCGATTCCACTCGCACGGTTTGCTGGTACATGCATTGCTTGATTGAACTGTCATGACGAAGTCAAGCAGGGCATACAACAAAGCAGCAACGTGGCTGCATCGACCCATCGTAGATGCTTTACATTGGCACTTTGCATCCAGTACATCTGCAGTGACGTTGTGCAACATTATATTGACATTGTAATTCTGCTGTCTGAAGGAAGCTAAAACGTGAGCTTTAATACAGTAATAATTTTCTTTCGTTACAGCATCCACAATATTTTGAACATGACCGCTGTCAAAATATTGTTTTCCTCTGGCTAGCGGTTTCGCCGTACTAAAATCTACATTCACGTTCTCCTTGTCCCATGCAGATAGTATATTGTTATTTGTGAGAACAGTGAGTTCGTCCTGCAATACGCATGTTGCAATTAAATGCTTGTAAATGCATCCGTAATTGAAATTTTCCGGGATTTTGTTGTGAGGAAATTTCATCCACGCCAAAAGAAATGGAACAGTAGCATTTCTTTGCAACAGAGGCCTTCTTACATTTTTCTCTTTCATAGCCAACCATTTTCCAGAATCAACGTAAGGATCCACACTGATTTTGTTTTGGAGACAAATTTTCACCCTGCAAGAAAAATTCGTCCTTCAAATAATTCAGCAATTTTATTTTATACATTTTTATGGTAAACACATATCATATATTAACAGTCGCAATATAATTAAAAAAGAATTTATATATAAATTTTTTTTATTATTCTATTCAAAATAAATATTGATTACAAAAAAAGCCATTAAAAATTGTCAACACATTTTTTCAAAAGAAATTAATCAATTAAACTCACATTTACATAAATTTATATTTTAATATTAATACTTGTATATAATTTTATTTACAAATATAAATAAAGTTTATCATATCGCTATAATAAGAAATATTTCATTTTATAATATACATATAATATATATATTTTATAAAATAATATTATTAGTCAGTTAACGTGTATAACGACAAAACAATTTTTTTAATATAAATGAATTAAAATTACAAATTTCTGTTTTTAAATTATATAAATTTAGTTTATAGGTTATGTTTGTTTTACGAAACATTTATTTCATTCTTTTAAACACTATATAATTTATTTCTATGGTACTACATTATAAATTATATTTAAATATATAACTGATTAAACATAAATTATAACATAAAAAGTATCTCATATAATATCACAATAGTATATATAAACATACGAATGCTTACCTTGCAACCAAATCCTTTTTTTTCCTTTCGTTTCTTGTTTTCTACAATCCAACCACCTTCTTAATTCAAGACTACTATTGGCCTCAACATCATATTTTAATTTAGCCCCTGGTATATCGTTTTCAGTAATATTAAATTTTAAAAAAGGAATTGGGAACTGATAAACTACAATACGCCATCTGGTGAGAGACCGATCTCTTACTCCATTTTCCTTCTTTGTCTCTCTTCAATTAACATGTTAGAAAGAGGAGAAAAATCAAAATGGAGGGAGAGATCGGTCTACAGTTACTATATTATTACTAGACCACCGATCCCAATACTTGTAGCACACATATTGAACAGAAAAAAATGACCGAGTTTATGACATTCGCGGAAACTGTCATGGCGACCACGTATGCGCAAAGCGTATTTCCTATTCGAGATGAAAAGGTCTATTGGAATCCATGGAAATAAAAATTCCTCAAGAAATAAATGAGCATAAAAACCGTAAGATCGGATAATGGGAGGGAATATAAAAGTTGAAAATTCGAGGAATACTTGAAGACGCAAGGAATCTGCCATCAACTCACAACGGAATATACACCTCAGCAGAATGGCGTTGCAGAACGTCTGAACAGAACACTTGTTGAGATGGCAAGGTGTATGATACTACAATCTGATCTTCCTCAAAGCTTTTGGACAGAAGCTGTTTTGACCGCCTGCTACATCAGAAATAGGTGTCCATCGAAAAGTTTGGAAGGAAACACCCCTCATAAAATTTGGAAAGAAAAAATATCAACTGCAATTCATTTTCCAATTTTTGTTCAAAAAGCACACATGTTGGACAAATCTACCAAAGCGAAAACAGAGAGAGGAAAATTTTCCAGTAAAACGATCGAATGTATCTTTGTTGCGTACTCAACTGAATCCAAGGCTTATAGATTGTGGGATCCGGAATCGAAGAAGATTCGTCGAAGCCGCGATGTCGTTTCGTTAAAATTTTCGAAGGAAAACCGAAGTTTGAAAATTTCAAAACTGAAAAAGATGACATCGATGGACTAAAGCTTTTGTTTGTGAATTCGTTAAGTGCTCCCAAAAGTGTTGCAGTAGAAAACCTTCTTCAAGTAGAAGAAAATCCTCCGAATAATCATCAAAATGAATTTCCACAACAAGCACAACCACAACAAATGAAACCTGGAAGAGGACGCCCTAAGATAATTCGTACTGGAAAGATAGGCAGAGCTGCAAAACAACGATATATGGTCCCCATTCGAGAAGATTCAAGTGAAAGTGATTACGACGATGACAATTAAATTAAAAATCAAGAAGTGCAAGAAAGAGTAGAACAAAACTCGGAACTGGATGAAGTCGATGAAGAGGAAGCACCTGCATCAAAGTGTTCAATTGAATACGTCGGATTAACTGAAAAAGGAGATCCAGCCACAGTAAAAGAAGCTCTAGCAAGTTCAGAGGCAAGCGAATGGATGGAAGCTATGCAAGACGAGTATCAGGCTTTAATGAAGAACAAAACGTGGACATTAGTTGATCGTCCGAAAGACAAAAATGTTATTGGATCAAGATGGGTTCTACGTACAAAAACTAAAGCTGATGGTTCCGTGGAACGGCGAAAAGCCAGAGTTGTAGCCAAAGGCTTTTCACAAGAACCAAACGTCGACTTTCATGAAACGTTCGCCCCTGTTGCAAGAATTAGCTCGATTCGAATTGAACTTGGGGCCGATTCCATTTCAATTTAGACAGGCTATGTTTCTGTAACTCATGTTATCGTTTCCTATGAAAATATATTATTTTTCCCACAATTTTAGACGACACGTGTTTTGCCGTTTTACAAAAAAAAATTATTTAACGAAGTTAGGCGCATTTGAATTTTTATAACTGCAAAGTCAGATTTCAAAAAAATGACTATTTTACAAAAGAATTTATTGAGGTCCTGAGTCTTGAGAAAGAGTAAAATTTTTTTTTATTTTTAAAAGATGAAAATTCGAAGTTTTTTTGAACTTTTTACGAGATGTAACAAAATTTTAAAAAGAAAAAATATTAGTTTTTAAACATTAAATAAATAATTTGTTTTACTGGTATCTTCAATTTGCAGAGCATTTAAATTT